GGCTGTCAGGAGGCCTGCAGCCTGGACGCAGTGGAGTGACAGTGGGCAGCAGAGAGGGTAACCACGGGGTGACGGCGGCTCAGGTTTCAGAAGCTGGCATGGCAGAAGTTGAGTTCAGCCAGCCTACTCCATGGCTGGGTAAGTCTTCGGGGAAAGCTCCAGGCATCTCCACTCACCGCCACAGAACCCTCAGCACTAGTGATCTCATTCTCCTCTGAACATCCACCTCTCCCCCTTAGGAGCCACCTAACTATAGGACCTCAGGGCGAGGCATCAGTGAATGCTGGCCAGCCTTGGGGCCACCCTGCCAGGAGTCTCCGGGTAGTTCCAGAACCAGGACAATGGTCTGGCCTCTTCCCAGAACTCTCCACTGCCCAGACACTCAGAGATGACTCTCAGCAGTGAGAATTTATGGAGGCTTCCCTGGAGATGTTCCTCTTCCTGGATTTCCAATACAAAGGCAGAAAAGTGAGACAGACAAAAGCAAACTCTTTCCCTCTCTCACCCCTTAAGTCTGCACAGAGCAGACAAGGGCTGGTGGATGCTGGGACCCTGAAGACTCCTTTGCCTGTTCCCTGCCCCTGCCCTCCTTCACCAGCAGTGGGTACTGCACTCGACTGTTCAAGTCCTCTCCACACTGAACTTGCTTTCCTGGAACCACTACTCTAACCCTTCTCCAGTACCCACTAGGACTCAGGGCTGTGTCCACCCAGGCACGGCTCAGCCGCTCTGCAGCTCTTCTGGCTTCTCACTCGGTTCATGCATCGCCCTCTGCAGTGCCCTCTTCTAATGCCCAGTCAGGAGCCCCTTCTCCCTTGCATTTCCAAGATCCCTTGTTCTTCCAATTGTGCAAAAAACACTTGGAGAAGAAGGGGAAAAGGAATGTGTGTTTGTGTAGTGCGGCAGAGCTGGGATAAGACCTTTACCACTGGGCCGCACCCCAGCCTGGTCTCATATGATATTTATATGTCTGTGTCTCACACACATAATGAGATTTTCAAGGCCTGAGGCTACACCGTGGTTCTTCTCTTCTGCAATAAGCCGCTCAATAAATATTTGTTACACTGAATTAACTATCACCAAATTTCACTCCTGACAAATTATTTTCCTGTTTAATTAGCAGTGCTCTGCTATCGTGAGATGACTTCCTCCCTCCTCCCCTCCTCTCTCTCTTTCTCTTTCTCTCTCTGTCTCTCTTTCTTTGTTCTTTTGTTTCTTTTTTCATTGCTAGAGATGGATCCCAGACCTTTCTTTTTTTATTTTGGGAAGAGAGTTTTGCTAAGTAAGTGCCCAGGCTGGCCTTGAACCTGTGGCAATCCTGCCTCAGCCTCCCACAGTACTGGGATCACACATGTGTGCCACCACTGTTACAGATATCAGAATACAGGAGAAGTAAGGTACTGTAAAATAAATCAAATGCAAAGGCCTTTTCCTCAAGAGCTTTTTTTCAGTGTTGGGGATGGAACCTAGGTCCTTGTACATGCCGGACAAGTGCTCCACCACTGAGTGATAGCCCCAGCCCTAAGACCTTCAAGTTTTATGAGGGAAACAAAACCAGAACATATTATGATACATGTGGTAAGGGAGATGGAAAAGAAACACTCATCATATAACCTTCTCCCCCAAAGTATCGCGGGGAGGAGGAGTGTGACAGGGTCTCAGTTTACCTGCCTGCAACTGGCCAACTGTTTAACCTTTCAGACCCCATTTCTTGTGCCGGAAGCTCTGATAAGGACCTTTTATAATATATTGTAGGGATTTCTGTAAAGAACAAAATAATACCTATAGACGGTATAAAGGAAGCTTTGTGTATACTCCAGTAATAAACACAAGTATGTGGTATAGCGGCCCGATTAAGCCATGCCCTGCTGCCAGTTTTCCTTGCCCACAGTCTTGTCAACCTCCAAGTCTCCCCAGATCACAACTCAGAATCACCCTGATACCTCCTCCACACCTAACCCGTGCCACACATCCTGCCCAAGCGCTTTGAAGTGCTGCTGGCATCCTGGTCTTCCCTTCTTTTTCTGGCCTGGAGCCTCATGATGTCCTTGTCACACTATCTAGCACCAGGCTGTTGTGATAGAGCCTCCCGCCACTCCCTATATGGATTCCTTCCTAAAATTCAGATGTCTCTTCCTAAAAGACTCCTTTTCCTGCGTCATTCCTCTGCACACATGATTTCAGTCTTCCCCTAATAGCTGAAGACCAAAGTCTATAGCTTGACATTTAAAGCTCTTGGTAATTTGATGTTATTGTATTTACCCAAATTTATCTGGTCTTAGCACAATCCTGTAATATTAACTGATCTGAGCTTTCTCTTGTCTCCTAAATAAACATGCATAAGCCCAAACACACACAACTGAATCTCTCATTCACTGCTGCCTTTCCTAGCTCAGCAGGTAGGATGGAAAGGAGCAGACAGAGACAGAGAAGGAGGGGACAGTTACAGTGCACTGGGACAGGTGCTGTTACTAGCTCCATCCTTCAAGACCATGCTCAGGGCGTATCTCCTCCAAGAAGCCTTCCCTGATTAACTCATGACCCTCCAAACACCTACACATTCACTATTTGGACTCCCACAGGTCAGTGCTTCTCAAGCTTGAGACACAATTGGCTGGGTCTAGAGATTCTGACTCCCTGAGTCTATGGTGGGGACAGGCTCTGATGAGAAGGACCTGCAGACCATCACTCTTGCCATCGCTGCTGCAGATGACCTTGGATGGGTACTTACACTTTGCTTCTCCTCTTAGATCTTTATGGGCAGAAAATATGTCTTCTGTCTCTTTGTGCATCAGCCCACAAAGATAGAAAGTGCTCCCCAGATTCACTTTTACTGGTTCACAGTGCTGGATGCCCTCCTCAAAGGCTGCTGGGGAGATCAAAGTCCCACAGCACAGACTGGCTGGCATGGGCCCAGGTCAGGAGTCACAGTGCGATTCACAGAGCAGCTCTACGGGGGCTGCCTGGCAACTTCCAGCCCCTTCTCTAGCTTCCAGCAAGGAGGCTGAACTGACGGACAGTGAGCAGTTGCTCCCTGCCAAATGCTGGACTGGAGGACACACACGCTGTCTCAGGGGATCACAGCAGCACAGCAGCTGGTCCCTTAATTTCACCTGTGTACAATGCAGAAAGGCAGACACCCAAGTTTTTCTGTCCCATGGCATAGTGCAGAAGAGACAGAGGGGCTTAGCAGGGAAGGGGAAATGGGGAATATTTTCTGGAAGTCAATTAGGTGGCCAGTGCACCGTTCCAGGTGTTTTCCCCTCCAAGTTCTCTTTTAATCCTCACAATTATCTCGCGAAACAGACTTCATTTAAATCACTTTAAAGGTAAAGCAAAAGCCCCAGAGAGGTTATATAATCAGTCCAAGGCCATACTTCTGGGAAACCTGGAAAGCTAAGGGCAGTAGGTAGAGTCTCAGATGATCTGTCTGACTCTAAAGCCTTTGGGGCTGGGTGTGGTGGCGCATGCCTGTAATCCTAGCACTCTGGAGGCTGAGGCAGGAGGATCACTGCAAATTTGAGGCCAGCCTGGGGTACAAAGTGAGTTCAAGGCCAGATGAACTGCATAGAACCCTGCCTCAAAAAAAAAACAAAACAAAAAAACTCTTGTGGGCTCTCATCCCAGCCCTGTGCTGTGACATGTCACAGGGTGTATACACAGCTTGCATGTACATCACTGGCAGAAATGTGAATAGGTTTCAGGATCCCGCATGCCCCCAGCTCCTTGATAGTATCTAGCATTTTGTTTGCTCAGAGTTTCGGGACGTGGCCTCGGCACACAGATCAGAGGCTCCATGTGGGAAGCTACGATTCATAGGAAGGAAGTGGAGTCAAGGGGGCACACCAAGACCTTGGACAGTGGGGAGCAGGCCTCGGCCGCACGGCCCTAGGAAGGCTGGTTTCTACTGTCAGGTACTGGAAGGTGAGAGTTTTGGTTTTTCCGGACCTAGCTATGTCAGTTCAGGAAGTGTGACTGTCCCCTCTCTCACACCAACACACTCCCCACCTTTACACACTCACAGATTTGAGGGTGGCTGGCGAGATGAGCGGGATCAGACTCAAGGTGACACACGAGTCTATGCAGAACCACTGCACCCAAGCCTAGACTCACCGCAGAGGAGCCTGATAGATGTACAGGGAGGTCAGCCAGGTACCCCACATGGAGGGCAGCTCAGGCTCACGCTGGCACAGCCACTCGCAGGCTGTGGAGGGCACAACCTCCTTCAGCCACTTTTGAGGTGCCTCGGTGACTGTCAAGAACTCTGGGACCGGCGGGAGTGCTTTCTCCATCACCGCCTTGCCCTTCCACCACGGGCGGGCGGAAACCCACGGCTAGAAGGGGTCTGGCTGCTTTCCCGTGGTTTGTCCTCTGCCCAGGCTCGGTTCAGTTTCCTTCTGGCCTGAGCTTAGCGACGTGGGGTGGGGGAGGGGCTGGAGTGCAGAGAGAGGAGGGGGTGGGGAGGGAGAGACTGTGGGAAGAGGAAGGAGATGGAGTGAGACAGGAGGGCCTGTCCCCTCACCTTGTGGGCAGTCTAGACCGCGGGAGGAAGGGACTGGTCCAGCTGACGCCAGGATTCCAGGTCCCCAGAAAAGGAAGGTGGGGACTCGAGCGTCCCTGAGACGCCGGAGGAGGGGAGAACTGGGCGATCGGCAGCCAGGGTGATGGAACTGGGGACTGACACCTGTTTCGGGGTCCCCGTGAGCTGCCCCTTCCCCACCGCAGGCGCCCTGGCTGCAGTCCCTACGAGGGGCACGCGGCAGGGTGGGAGGGCGCGAGTGCCATCCGCCAAAGAAAAGGAGGGCCGGGAGGCCAGGGGGGCTAAGCAGGCGGGAAAGGGGCGTTTGGGGGGTGACTTCGGCAGTGGGACCCCAGAGGGTTAGAGTGGGGGGGTCTCTGCTGCTGCCCGGCTGCCCATCTTAGCAGGGGGCAGCCCACTGCATCCCCACCCGCCTCCCCTCTGCTGCGCGCGAAGCGGGGCGCCCGCCCGCCCGCCTTACCGTCTGCGGGGGGCTGCCCACGGTCATCTCCACGTAGTAGCCCTGGCCCGACTTTCCCCTCAGGTTGTCCACCATCTCCACGAAGCTGCCCCTCCTGCCAGGCTCCTCGTCGGTCTCCCGGGGCAGCCGCAGCCCCAGGGGGGCCCCTGCCAGGCCGCTGCGCAGGGGCAGTCGGATGCCATCCTGGGTGCCGTGGACAGGCAGCACTCCCGAGCCCACCCACAGCAGGAGCCAGGGCAGGGCCGGGGCCATGGTGGGCCCGGACCTTCTGGGCTAGCTCGGGCCCACGTCCGTCCCGGTCGCCTGTCCCCAAGTCCGGGTGGCGGTGGCTTCTCTCAGGAGAAGGGGCTTAGTGGCATCAGGAGTCCAGAGCCTGCAGGCCTCTCCGCCAGCCCCGAGTCCAGGCGGTGCACAGCGGGCAGCAGAAGTCCGCAGAGCGCGCGAGGACAGTAGAGGCTGCGACCCGGATCGGCTACATCTGGACGGCGGCGGGCAGCCTCGGCTGCGGGCTCCGGCCCTTCTGGGGGCTGGGAGGGGCGCGCATGGCAGGGTGGCGCCGGCTGCAGCCCGGTTCTCCTGGCGAGGCTGGGGGCGCAGGAAGGACCAGGGGCTCCCGGCTCCCGCGGCTGCGCTGGCTGCTCGGGCCACCACAATCCAGCTTCCAGCTCGCAGCTCCCGGCTCCAGGCTCCCGGTTCCCGGCTCTCGGGCAGGCAGGGGAGGCGGAAAGACCTGTGGTGGCGGCTGTCAAAGCCAAAGGGTTTTCGCTTTTCTCTGGGATCGCTGGGAAGTGTAGTCTTCCCATGGCAGACAGCCCTGCTTCCGGAGCTGGAGAGGGGTCGAGGATGCCCTCTACCGAGGCGGAGTCCACCGTGCAGGATCCTGGCGGGGAAAGAATTCCCCAGCCTGGGCAGGGTGGGAGCATCCAGTCGGGGGAATGGAGTAGTGGCTGCTCACCTCTCACCCCTCAGCCCTCCTTCAGCATTGATGGCATGCCCGCTGTGTGCCAGCTACTCTGCCAGGCACTGGGGCTACAGAGAGACGTGAAGTGGACACACACCCGAAGCGAGTCCATTCAGGAGAATTAGGGGATTCTTGCCGCAGTGGGGTTACATGCAAATGATGTGGTATTAAGGAGGAGGGATTTGGGGGGCATCTTGGGGCCGTGGGAAAACTCAATGGTGGTTTTTAACTAGAGCCTTAAAACAGGTAATATTTCCAGTGGCAGAGATCGAGATGGAGGAGTACTCTAGGCTGCAAACTACACAGGCAGGTCTAAGGGGCACACATGCAGTCTCGGTTTCCACCAGGGTTGGCCACCTGTGGGAGTGAAGAGCCTGCTCTGAATCTGACCTGAGTCTGTGCCTCTGATGCTCTCTTGCCATGAATCCTCAGGACAGCTGTTTCCTGCCACTGTCAAACTGAGGATAAAGGGCTGCTTGAGAGCTTTGAAGAGTTATCATTCCAAGAACTATTAGCATCTTAATTGATAAGAGCTTAAAACAAAAAGCTGTAGATGTCTAATTGCTTAATAGAGAAAAGCTGCATGATTGTCATTATATTAGTTATCCAATGTGGAAATACTTGATAAAATTTAGCAATCATTCTGATAAAAAAATTAAGGAGAGCAGGGAGGGCATGATGATGCATGCCTGTAATCTTAGCTACTCAAAAGACCAAGGAAGGAGGATTGCAAATGCCAACCCAGCACAGGCAACTTAGTGAGACCTTGTGCCAATAAAAAGTAAAAAGGACCAAGGATTTAGCTCAGTAGTAAGAGTCCCCTTAGGTTCCATCCCTAGTACCACAAACAAAACGAAACAAACACAACTAAGGGGGAATTTCTTGAATAAGATAATCAAGGGCTGGGCATGTGGCTCAATGGCAGAACCAGTGTATGAGACCCTAAATTTGATCTCTGGCACCAAGGGAGAGAGAAAAGGGGAGGGTGAGGGAGAGAGAGAGGGAAAGAGAGAGGGAGAAGTGAGAGAGAGAGAGAGAGAGAGAGAGAGAGAGAGAGAGAGAGAGAAAGAGAGAGAGAGAGAGAGAGAGATATGGGGAGAGGGAGAAAAACATGGGAACTGGAAAAAATAAAAATCAATAGGTCCACATATAAATTGGAATTGTGTATAGATACAGAGGGCATTTGATACACAGAGCTCCCACAAATCAATAAAGACCCTCAAACACTGATTAAAAAGTGAAAAAAGAGGTAATTGATAGAAGAAATTCAAATGGCCAGTGAATACATGAAAAAAGTGGAATTTTGGGGCTGGGGATTTAGTTCAGCAGCATAAGTGCCTGCCTTGCAAGCAGGCAGTCGTGAGTTCGATCCCCGGTACTGATAAAAAGGAAAAAGACAAAAAAAAAAAAAAAAAAAAGTGGAATTTTGTAAATAGTGGAAAGATAAAATTCAAACAGTATTTTAAGTACTACCTTCTTCCCTCTCTTTCTCTTCCTTCTTTTCTCCCTCTCAGATTGGAATACGTTGGTGTTGGTGAAGGTATTGATTGGACTGCACAAGCAATATCAAAATTTTGGAAATAGCTGGGCATGGTGACTCATGCATGTAATCCAGCTCTTGGAAGATGGGAATCAGGGAGATTATGAATTCCAGGCCAGCCTGGGCTGCATGTCTAGTTCTAAGCCAGCCTGTACTATATAGCAAGACCTTGGCTCAAAAACAATAAAAAACCCTGAGAAACCAAGTAAATCATCACAAATCGGAGACCAAGACATTTGACATTTATTTGGTGGCATCCTAAATAACCATTAAAAACAATGGCATAATTTCTTATGAAATAACTTTGGAAGATGTTTATAGCATGTTAAATGGAGAAAGTACATTATGATCTCATTTCTGTAGCAATTTTAAAGTATGTAATTGTGCTTAAATGTGTATATATTACATGCAAATTTTTATTTACATAAACATCAAAAAATCCAGAAGGCAGATATGCCTACAATGGTTTCCTCTAAAATGCAGAGGTTTGTTTCTTTCTTTCTTTGCTGAAGTTATCCATCCAAAGAGTGTATGTCAAGGGCCTCTGTTTGCTAAACACTATTCTAGGCACTAAGGACACATCAATAAGCAAAATAGACAACATCTTTGTCCTTATGGAGCTTACATTCTAATGCAGAGAGACAGACAACAAACAAACAAGCAGACTTCTGATGTGAAGCACTGTAGGAAAAAACAAATAGCAGAAGGGAGCTGGAAGAGCAGCTGGTAATTTTCAAATAATATAGAATGAAAGTGTAGAAGAAACATTTGTAACTTCATATACTTTTTTAAAAAGTGGCAGGATTAATGAATGCTCTCCTTTTTTCATGTGGGTGGTTTCTTGTATATTCCAAATAAATAGTATGGAAAGAGAAAAAATATTCTAGCAGAGCAATTTCTGACCTTGAATTAGAGGACAGTTTGACTCCCTCATTGTGTTAGTTACTTTTCTTGTTCTTGAGACAAAATACCCTAAGTTCAGAATGAGAGGAGGAGGGGTTATGTAGCTCACAGTTTGTAGAGGTTTTAATCCGTAGTCACCTGGCTTCCAGTCAGGGTAGTGTGGAAGAGGAGCAACCATCTGTGACAGCAGAAGACACCAAAAACAAGACAGGAGAAGAGAGAGACAAACCTCTTCCTGCTTCTTATGTTGTATGCAGGCTACCCGCCCGAGGGCAGTTGTAACCCTCATACTGTTAATCCCACCACTGGACCTTGAATCAGTCATAAACTGTAGATTCACCCACTTCCAAAAAGCATAGGAATGCAAGAGGCTTTGGGGGATATCTAGACACTAATCATAACATTCTGCTCCTGGCCCCCTAAAGATTCATGTACATTGCTTTACAAAAAAGGCATTTAGTCCATCTCTAAGAGTTGCCAAACTCCGAACAGTTTGAGCACTGCTGAAAAATCCAAGTCCTAACTTTCCTTTGAGATGTAAGGCAAATTCTTAGCTGTAACCCCTTGTACAATGAAAATTAAATACTCCCAACATTCTATGACGCAAGATAGGCATTTCTATTCCAAAAGTTACTAATGGGGATTCAAAGGAATGGGACCAAAATAAATCCAAAATCCAGCAGGCCAAACATTAAGTCCTGTAGTTCCATGTGCAGCATCTGAAGCAATCTGTGGCAAGATGTGAACTCCAAAGGACTTGGATGCCTCCACCCCTACAGCACGTCTGGAGGTTGTAGCTCCCATGGCTTCTCTCTTGGGCCCACGCTGCTCCCTCCTTGAAGTTTTCCTCAGATGATCCATGTTCCCGGCTTCTTCTGACTTCTGGGGTCTCCACTGCACCTTCAGCTTCACACTCACAGCTTCCCATACCACCCTCTCAGGGACACACTACCCTTCTGAACTTGGGATAAAAGCCTCGCTGACCTCACAAATCTTGCATTCCGCATGCACCTAACAACTAGCAGCAGTAGCCAGTCTTTTCTCTATTCTAGCTATAAGGAGTTTAGTGCCTGGTTTGCTGAGCACTCTGAATCCAATTCTGAGGAACAAATTCTCTATGCTGTTGCCATTTTGGAACATGGTGCTCCATGACCTTCTCTAAGCAAGGTCTTTTACTTTTGCAGTTTTGGGGCTGCAAAAGGGGGTGTCCTGCTGCTTCCTGTGATGGCCTCAGGTCATCTTTTCTACTCTCCTGTTTCTTCTCAGCAATCAGGATCTCCTCTGCCCCATCTTTGAGGCCCTCAGCTTTACCAGAGTTTTCTTTCTGGCCAAACTCAATGTTTTAAATCATTTTGCTGGGCTCTTTGCTCTTAATTCTCAGCATAAATCTAGCTAATAGTCCCCAACAGTAGCCATGCCACCACTTTAACATCAGACTGTCTTCAAATTTCTTTTGCCAGATTAATTGGTCGACCACCTTTAATCTCAGTCTCAGATAAAGTTTCTGGAAATGAGCAAAATGCAAACTTTCTGTCAAGCCATGACACACATGATCTGGAGTTCAACAACCAATCCTTCTCCCAGCAGAAACCTTCTCAGCCTGGTCTTTGCTGGCAGGATTTCTGTAAGCCTTCTGATCTTCTGGGCTCTGACCAGGATCGACCATACAGAATAGCCTAGGCAGCTCCAGCTCTACTTTTTCAGCAAGCATCTCTGAACCTTGTCAACTCTTCCCACAAGTCATTTCCAAGGGTTCCTGAGCCACATGGTTAGGTATAGTCACAGTAATAACCCCACTTCTCTAGTACCAAATTAAAAAAATTTTTTTTAATTTTGAAAGTAGTAAAGTACAACAGAACAAGACAGAATAAAGCCAACTGAGACCATGTAGTGAAATTGATACAGAATTTCACAGCAGGTTACCGGGATAACAGTAATAGGTATCACAGTATATTTCGTTATCTTTACAATAGTTGTTCTTTAAATCACGTATATCAAAATAAAATGAAATACAGAACATTATAGAACTTATCAAAGCAAAATATTGAATAGAGCTGTACCATTAATCAGAATAAAACAGAACAGTAATAAAAATATTTGCCTTCAAAGAGATGGTAGAAGGAAATCCCCCTTATTTGCTATGGTCAACCTCCCAAGAGATGCTCAGATTTCTGGTTCCTATTTGCTAATGGGGGACAAGGAAGGGCATAGGGGAAGTGGGATGTTTGACTCTAGGCCGTGCACCAGTAGGTTCACTATTGCTTAGCGGGGAGGCGAGCTGGTTGCTTGGTTTCCCAGAGTCCTAAATTCTAGCATGGTGTGGCTCTCAGGAGACACTGGTGGTTCTCACCCTGGAAAGGTTGTAGTCTGCCACACCACAGCCACTTACCAGGGAGACGAGCTACTTGCTTGGTTTCCCAGGGTCTTAAATTCCAAAATGGCACAGATCTCAGGAGACACTGGTGGTTCTCCCCCTAGAAGGGCTGCAGTCTCTGGAACCAAATTTTATCTTAGTTATTTTTCTTTTGTTTCTGAGACAAAATACCCAATGCCCAAAGTTAAGGGAGAAAATGTTTATTTACGTTGCAGTTTGTAGACATCTCAGTCTATAATCACCTGGTTCCAAGGCAGGGGTGGCACATGGCAGAGGGGAAGCATTTCATGGCAGTGGAAGACACCAAAAGCAACAAGGGAGAGAGGGATAAGCAAGCCTCTTCCTGCCCCTTTTATCTTATCCAGACTTTAGGGATTAGGGCAGTGTCAATCCAATCAGTGGACTGATCCAGTGTCCCAGCACCCTTAATCCCAGCACTGCACTATGAATCAGTTATAAACTCTAGATTCAGCTGCTTCTGAAAAATCTCCACGTTAAAGTGCATGAGGTTTGGGGGGATATCCAGACACAAAATGTAACAATCATCCTTTAAAAATCATCTCTAAATGTTTATCCCTAACTCTAGAAGACAATTTACAATGAGTGAAATTCTCTCCACTACTGCATGTGATACTAGTATATGCATCTGTGACTAGTTTCAGTTGACGTCATTGTTAACCCCTCAGCACAAGTATGTTAAGAAACATATCTCCTTAGATATGTTCACCTGAGAACATCTGATAATGAGTTTGCATTTCTGAGTGCAAATCTATGGAGCAACCTGATACAATGCAAATTGTTTATCTGTGTGAGTATATTTTCATTAATCCCAGGGTATGCCTTATCTTATTAGCTCTTCCTATCAGCTGGGAATCCATGTTAAGGGAAAAAGATAGGTATTCTGATGATACTAGAAATCAATCAGATTGATTGTGAGTTCTTTGATCTAGGAAACCACAGATGGCATTTTGTATCTCTGTTCTGTGTAGTCTGTGGTAGATGAACTGGTGGGTTCTTTTTCACTCTGGACCCTTTGGCCTTCACCTTTTTAAAGTGTGTGCAGAAGAAGGAGGAGTAACATTTTTTCATCTGTGGTGTGAATAAAGTTAAGTATCGATAGAACTTTGGTAGAAAGATTTAAACATGGAAAATGTGTTCTGGCCATCTGATTTGGGATCTACAGGCGTAACAATCTGAGTTCCTCACCATGAGATCAGTTCTAAGTGGCGCAAGGACTGGTTTCAAGAGTTGTGGGTGTCAGATGCATCTCTAGAACCTACTGGAACTGCTCTAAGTGCATGGCTTCACTGTCTCCGTTTCTCTTTCTCTTTCTTTTTTCCCTAAATCCATTTTATTTCAAGGATGAAAGAAAGAAAGAAAGAAAGAAAGAAAGAAAGAAAGAAAGACTACAAAATTTCAAAACACATCAATAAGGGGGTAACAGTGGTACATACATTGTGCATTGTCACCCCCAAATCACTCACCCAGAGCACAGCACATCTGCATTCAACTGTCCGCAATCCCAGCACAAATCTTTCTCTTCAGTGAACTCAAAGAAATCAGTACTATAACTATTAACTATTTTAGAGTAATAAGACCCAGAATGTACAATAGGAATTGTACTAAAGGGGAAGAATGTGCTCAAAAGGACAGAACTAGAGGAAAGGAAAAGAGGAGGAAAGGAAAAGGGTATATGGGTGCTAGTAAACGTATATAAACTTATGTATGTGTATGTACCTTATGTAGGTGACTATGCTACTAATCTTAGTTCATCAAAAAGAACAGTTTGTGCTGTCATTGTTCAATTGATCACTTTTGTATCTAGATTTTATAACCTGAACAACTAGTTCTGAGATAAAAATGAGCAATGTATTAATGAGTGTTAATTCGCTACTTTTTTCTTTTCTTTTTTTGAAATTCTGTATGATTTCTATTCTTTATTTCTGTTTTACTTTTTCAAAATAATTAAAAATCTAAAAAAATAAATTTAGAAAATGGCAAAAAATACATGTACATACATTTTTCTTTCAGCTTCTTATACTAGTGAAGCAATATGATATTTACACATGAGTCTTATTTATTTAACTAATGAGTATGTTCTCAAACTCTATCTATTTACCTATAAAAGTCTCCAGTTTATCCTTCTTTATGGCTGAGTAGTACCCCATTGTATAAAAATACTACATTTTTTTTTTAATCCATTCCTCAGTCGAAGGGTATTCCAAGAGCTGGCTATTACAAACTGTGCTCTTATAAACATTGGTGCACATATATTACTGTGGTATGATAGTTTTAATTCTTTTGGGAAGATATTCAGAAGGGGAATAGCTGCACTGAATGGGATCTCTAGTTTTTTGAGAAATCTCCATACTGATTTCCATATTGGTTGCACCTGCCTGCATTCCCACCAACAGTGCATAAGTCCCTCCAGCGTTTGTTATTGCCTAGTTTCTTGATAGTAGCCACTCTTTCTGGGGTGAGGTTGATTTAATTGCATCTCTCTCTCTCTCTCTCTCTCTCTCTCTCTCTCTCTCTCTCTCTCTCTCTTTGGTGCTGGGGAGTGAACTCACGGCCGTGTGCTTGCAAGGCAGGCACTTAAGCCACTGAGCTAAACCCCTGACTCTTAATTGCATCTCTTGAATGACCAGTGACATTGAACATTTTTTTCACGTATTTATTTGCTGTTTGTATTTATTCATCTGATAAGCGTGTACTCATCTCAGATGCCCATTTTGGGATTAGGTCTTTAAATCTGGGAGGGCTGATTTTTTTGAGTTCTTTATATGTCCTTGATAGTAAACCTTTCCTTGAGGAACAGCTGGCAAACACTTTTTCCCACATGGTGGGTTGTCTCTTCACTCTTGGTGGTTTTTCTTGCTGTGCAAAAGTTTCAGTAGGGTGAGATTCCAGTTGTTCTTTGTGATAGTACTTTGTGATAGTGCAATGTAGGTTTTGTTCTTTTTCTTTCTTTTGAGACAGGCTCTTGCTATGTATTTCAGTCTGGCTTTGGACTCATTGTATAGCACAGGCTGGACTCAAACTCCTGGGGATCCTCCCACCTCAGCCTTCTGAGTGCTGGTGTTACAGGCTCGAAACCACCATACCCAGCTCTTTCCTTTTCAATGAGAAAAATCTCTGCTTTATCTTATTCTTTTTTTTTAAATCTTTTTTTTTGTCTTTCTCATTTTTATCGGTACCGGGGATCAAACTCACGACTGCCTGCTTGCAAGGCAGGCGCTTATGCCGCTGAGCTAAATCCCCAGCCCCAATCTCTGTTTTTTCTATTCTCATTTTTACATTTATGGGAAATTTAGGTGTTTCTACTCCACTTAACTTCTCTAGGAGATTGGCCCTGTAGGAGAGAAAGGATTATTTGTTCTCTGTGCAAGCAAAACTAAGTATCTTTGGAATTACATTCCTATCAATACTTCTACTAGACGGAGTGCATGAAGGATCTGCACAGTATGTTACTTTTTTTCTTCAACAGACCCTGAAATAATTATGACAACATTGCTGTCTGTCACCATCTCTACCCTGCAGAAAGGTAAAGTGATCCCTGTGTGCCAGTGAAAAGATGGATAATAGAAACTAGATCTCTTTAATTCCTGGTCAAGTGCTCATTGATTGAATCCAAGCACAGAGCCAGCTTTTTTGGGGTGTGGGGCTGAGGGAGATGTGCGGATGGGAAGGAGATCTCCTTTACCTTAAATTTACATTTCTTGTTTGTTAAAGGACCAATCAATGGATTATTGATGGTAATTATTATTCAACTGATATTAATCCCACTGTTAAAAAGTGATGACCAATCAATTGCCTTGGATGACTTACATTACTGTTAATATTTTTAATGGTCCCTCCCTATCCTGTAAGAAATTCTTATATCTAAATTCAGGTCTTAATCGCTCAAGAAGCCCCATCAGCTACCAAGAACTACAATTTCCATCGTGCAATGGGAAACGTGCGGCACTCCTGCGTGCGCCGATGGGATTTTGAGCCAATCCGATGCCAGAGGTCTCCGACAGCGACCTATTGGCTCCGGTGGGAGGCGGGACTCTCAGTTGCTAGGTTGGTACCCGTCGGAAGTGGTTTTTGGCCGCTGCAGGGCAACACCCCGGCGTCCCTGGAAGCGGGGAGCTGGGGTGGTGCTGGGGAAGTGGCGCAGAGTCCTCGCCCTGAGCCTTCCGGGGTGGGGGGCACAGGTGAGGGCCTTCTTGGGGAAGGGCGGAATGGCTTGGTCGGGAAAGGAGGGTTGCGGGGGAGTTGAGGCAACGTGGCCTGCAGGTGTGCGGTGAACGGTGCAGGAGTGCGGGAACTGGGAGAAAAGTGGGGAAGGAGCGGCCGCGGGAGGGTCACCGCTTCAAAACCTCCCGTTGCCCGCTCGCGACTGGGCAGCGGCGCCCTGGCAGGTGAGTGGGCTCCGTGCTGTCGCCCGCGGCAGCGCTCCTTCTCTTCTGCCCCGGGGCAGCGTGCGAGGCTCGGCCTCCTGCCTGGATTCTTCTCCGCTGGGGATCCCTCAGTGTCCGAATCTGGGATGGTACCCCAACCTGATGGCGTGTTTTGGACAGTTGGGGAAGCTGGGAAGTTTTTTTGCTTGCACTGATTTGAGACTCCTCTCATGGCTCTCGCGAACTCCCTTTCTGGGAAATCGCCTACCTCAGCTCTTTGCAGGCCCCTCCTCGGTACTGGTCACACTCATCTCCAAGTGAGTGCGCCCAGAGTTTCACTTGCCATCCATTCAGCAAAATTTTGTCCAGCCGGAACCTTTTCCAGAGCTTATATCATCTGCTTAATGATGCTCTCCAACCTTCTCTGGTCCCCCGATCTGTTCCTTTTCTGCTTGTATTTCTTGTGTTATTGAAGGACTTCACTCAGTCAACCAAGTCTCCACTGGAATTCATAAATGCAGTAGCAGTTTGTCGGGCATGTCTTGTGTCCAGGCAGTATGCTTGGGGGCGGGGGTTTGCCTAATGGCCCAAGTCACAGAATCCCCACTATGTACAGCTGGAAGGGCTGTAGCTTCCCTCTCCCGTCACCCTCCACCTACTGCTGCACGTATCAGTCCTGTTATTATGCCTCCTGCTCCTTGCAGAACCTGGTCTTTCTTTGCATACTCACAGCCACAGACTTCATTTCTTGCCTGGACTTGCAGGATAACTTCTTAAGTGGGCTGCATGCCTCTGTTTGTCCCTCTCATTAGTTCTTGTGAAGCTGTCAGAGTCATCTTGGTAAACTGTAACTCTCATCATGCCAGTTTCCTTGGTGGAATCCTGTGATGCCCATTATCTACCTCAAAAAGCTCAGTCTTCCCAAGCCTCGCTTCCCATGCTGGATCTCTCCTGCCACACCCCTCACTAACCCTTTCTTTCTGGTCTTGTCCAAGTGGTTAAGGACTCAGGCTTTGGAATTAGATAGACCTGCATGTATGCACATTCTGCTGTGTCATTTACTAGCTGAATTCCAGCCCAATTCCATCTTGGGTGAGTTTTTAAAACTTTTTTTTTTTTTTTTTTTTACAGCTGGGTATAGTGGTGCATGCCTGTAATTCTGGACTCAGGAGTCTGAGACAGGCAGATTGCTGTCAGTTTGAGGCCTCTCCAGACTGCATGGTATATTCAAGGCCAACCTGGACTACATAGCAAGACCCTGTTGCAAACCAACAAAAACATGTTTTAAAGATTGTTTAAAAAATGCTAAGTCTCACTTTCCTTATTTGAAAAGTGAGGATGGAGGTCCTTAGCTAAAGTCTGTGCGGTGTTGTGTATAAAACTTAGTATGTAGCTCCTGGAACATAGAAGGAATACAGTGAGCATAAAGTTTGACTGTCATTGTTAACTGTCTACCCCTGCTGTGCTTTTTCTGGCCTCTTTGACTTTATGTGACCTGTTCCTTCTGCTTTAAATTGCCTGATTCCCCTTACCTGGAGAGCTCCTGCTTATTCTGCTCTGGAATGCTTTCCTCATCTTCCAGAGTAATGTCGCTTGTCCTTATCTTTGTGTTTTGTAATATTTTCTACTACTTCTCTTAATGTGCTGAACACATGGTGCGTTCGTTTTGTATGTGCCTGGCTTCTCGGTAGCAGATTCAGCTCAGGTTTAGCGTCACATGTGATTAGATTTGAAGCCTCAACACATACTTCTAGCCTAACCCATGGCAGGTGTTCCTTGAGTGGCTTTTGAATGTCTGAATGGCCTCATTTTATGTTCCTTGGTGTTGGCTCTCTTCTGTAGAGAGATGTAGAATGAATCTTCTAACTCTGTAAGTAGTAATGATAATCATAGTAACATCTGGCATTTGAGATGTTACAGTATCATAAGCATTTTACATTGAATCATTTAATCCTCACAATACTTCGGGATACATTTATTTATTTATTTATTTGTGGTGCTGGTGTTGAACTCAGAGCCTCGCACATGCTAATCTTGTGCGTACCACTGAGCCATACATGGCCTAAGACACTACTGTCTTTATGGCAGTAACTTCAATAATATCAGCTAAATTTGCCCAGCATTTATTGTTTAGTTGGTACTATGCTAGGCACTTTTTAAATATTATCTCATTCACTCTTAAGTCCTCTTTTATCACAAATGATTGTGATTGTTTGAATTAGACTCAGGAGGTAACTGAGGCTTAGGTGAAGTACCTTGCCTAAGGTCCTACAGTGGCAAGGAAGATCTGGAGTTTGAATATAGATTCTCTGTCCTAAAAGCTGGTGCTAGCTGGGGGTGGTGACATACTCCTGTAATCCCAGCACTGGGGAGGCTGAGGCAGGCAGATCATTGCAAGCTTGAGACCAGCCTGGGCTGCAAAGTGAGCCCAATTCCAGCTTGAACTGCATAGTGAGACCCTGTCTCAAAAAGACAAAAAAAAAAAAAAAAAAAAAAGCTAATGCTTTGACTACTATGCCATCTGTCACTTAAAGCATGGAGAGGGAATATTTATTTATTTTTGGTACAGGGAAATCAAACTCATGACCTCGTGCTTGCCAGGCAGGCACTTGTGCTGCTGAGCTAAATCCCCAGCCCCGGGAGGGATTATGTAGAATAGGGTGGCAAGTTGGACTAACTGTGGGTATTTCCATCTCCTGAGATTCCTTGGTTCTGCCTTAGTGGTTTATAGCATAACCGAGCTCCTACAGTAGTTTTAGGCTTGGTTAGAAAATCCAAGAAGATTTTCTGACCCTCAGGAGTTTGTGGTTTAACAGCAGAGGTGGCACATAGTACCGTGAGATAAAGCATGAGAGTGGTATGCCTGTGTTCCCGGTGCTGAGGTGCTTCCAGGTTGGCAGCTGTGGAGGGCTTCTTGGCGGGAGCATGTGAGTCCCTCCAGTTCTGCTGGATTCTGGGTTTGGCAGGACAGAGGCCCTCCTGCACCACTCTACATCTCCTGGCGGGGCTTAGGCCGCGTAGCATGTGGAGTTCACCTGATCTGGGTTCGTCTGATCTGTTGGTGACTGCTCCGTGGGATACAGTGTTGTGGCTTTTGATGGCCTAGAAGGCTTGAGTGGAATACTCCTCAAAGTCACAGGCCTAGCGAAAATATTTACTTGTCATAGCAGGTCTGAGGGATGTCTCTCAGGCTTCTCATCCTCTCTGTTGCCACTGAAGCTCAGGTTGCTGTCACCTGGGTGATCTCATGCTTTTACGTACTGCCCTCCCACAATTTCTCTGCTTTTCATCTCTCCTCATCTCTTTCATCATCATCATCTTTTTTTTTTTTTTTTTTTTTTGGTACCTGGGATCAAACCCATGAGCTTGTGCTTGCCAGGCAGACACTTATGCTGCTGAGCTAAATCCCCTGCCCTCTTCCCCTTCCTCCTGCTCCTCTTTCTCTTCTTCCTCTGCCTGTTCCTTCCCCCCCCCACCTTCTTCTTCTTTCTTTTGGTCTTCTGGAAACAAGATTTTGCTATGCAGTTCAGGCTGGCCTTGAACTCGCTTTGTACCCCATGCTGCCTTGTGCAGTGATCTTTCTGCCTCAGCCCCGGACCGCTGGGATTACAGGAGTGTGCCTCGATTTTTGAGAGAAGGTCTTGCTTTAAAGTCCAGGCTGGCCTTGAACTCATGATCCTCCCGCCTTAGCCTCCTGAGTGCTGGTATTACAGGTATGCATCACATGTCTGGCTCTTTGCTCTGTTTTTCTGGCCTCTTTTCCAGTCTGTACGCCTTGGCTGCCAGGGTAGTTTTTTTCAAAATGTGCATCTAGAAACATGGTCTCCGGGGTTCCCATCCCCTTATGGTAAAGGGCAGGTCCCTGGCTCGGCCTGGCTTCCGCACTTCTGCCTCCCCAGTGCCGCCTTGCTTGGTGGTGTTTCTTGCTGAACGGGCTTTGCACAGGCTGCTCTGCTGTTAGAACACATCCTCTGTCCCCCGCATGCTCGCTGACCCTCGGTTCTCAGCACAGGTGCCCCCTGATTGCCTCACTTCCTTCAGGCGCTTCCCCGCTTGTGCCTGTGCCCTTCTCTGGGACTGTTTGATGGGTCAACAGGTGTTCGCTAGACTGGCTCTGGAGAGAGACAACTGAATGTATTCTGGATGACCATTTATTTTTGTCTTTTTGAGACAGGGTCTCACTATGCATTTCAGGCTGGCCTTGGGCTCACTTTGTTGCTCAGGCTGGTGTCGAATTTGCAACGATCCTCCTGCCTCAGCCTCCTGAGTGCTGGGATTACAGGCGTGAGCCACTATCCCCGGAAATGGTTACATTTCTAGTTCCTAGAAATATACAAACTTGGTTGGTGCTCAACAAATATTTTTTTTTCTCTCTCTCTTCCTCTTTCTCTCTCTCTTTTTTTGGTACTGGCAACCAAGCAAACTGAGATATATCCCTAGCCCTTTTAAAAATTTTCTAACTTGAAACAGTGTCTTGCTAAATTGCTGGGCCTGAACTTTCAGTCCTCCTGCCTCAGCCTCCCAAAGTGTTGGGATTACAGGTGTGCAATACAAATATTACTTGAGTGAGTAAATGATTTCTAGTAGCCATTAAGAAGTAATGATTTCCCTTCCCGTGATTCTCTTCTTGCAGGTCCTTGCGCTGTTGGGCCTGGACCTGACCATGTCTTTTCTGAAGTCAGGCAAGGTACAGGTGGAAGGTGGAATATCAACATAGCCCACCCACATTTTAATTTTTTTTTTTTTTGTCTTTTTCCTTTTTATCAGTACCAGGGATGGAACTCACGACTGCCTGCTTTCAAGGCAGGCGCTTATGCCGCTGAGCTAAATCCCCAGCCCCCTACATTTTAATTTTTTCTGGAAGATGATTTGTTGGAAATTTGAATGATCCATGAATTCAGATTTTCAGTATTCTTCCTGGACCTTAGATTGTTAAGTGTCCATCATTGTGTCCCTGGGTAATTAGCTTTGTTTGTTTTTTGAGGCAGGGTCTCACTCTGTAGTTCAGACTGGCCTTGAATTCACTATGTAGTCTAGGCTGGCCTTGAACTTGCAGTGATCCTCCTGCCTCAGCCTCCTGAGTGATGGGATTACGGGCATGCACCACCACCCCTGGCTTAATCAGCTTTTTTCCATAATGGCAGATGTGACTTTTCAAAGGTGATGAGTATGTAGGGATAGGTCACATTTCTTTTTTAAGGAATTTTTATTAGTACATTTTAGATATATATAGTGTTCATCATAATTTGTACGTGTATGTGATATAACTTGATTCTTTTTTCCCATTCTTCTCCCCTCCCTTCAACCCCTGTTCCCTCCTTATTGACACATGCATTTTTTTCTGCCAGGGATATAGCTCAGCAGCACAAATGCCTGCCTTACAAGCACAAGGGGCAGTCTTATTGTTTCTTCTTTCTTTTCCTCCTTTTCCTTCCCTTGGAATAGGTAACATTTCTTGAATGCAGAATTTCTGTGAAATTCTATGAAATATTAACTCAGAACTGTGCTTGATAAATGCTGGTCTACCCTGATATTCAGGCCGCTGTCGGGTCCTCCCTGCCCATGGGTCTTTTCTTTTTCTCTGTCTCTTTTCTCCCTGATTAAGAGGATTAAACATTCAGGTGACTTCTTAAGCACCAGGCAGTGGATTCCATCTGCTGCCCTGGGTATAGGTCTGTCGCCTGCGTTTCTGGAGCTGGAAACAGTCAGGCCTCCTGGCCTCTGCCTCTGTGCTGAGGTGTGGGTCTGATGCCCACAGGCTGCTAGGGCTTCCTAGGTTCTGGAGCAGGGGTCCTCTTCAGCTTGTGTCCTGCAGAGAGGAACCCTTTTTCCTTTGGTCCTGCCTTCCTGGGAGGAGCACAGTCTCACTCCCCTGGTGGTCTGTGTCTGTGGGTCCCGAGACCCCTCACCTCTGCTGTCCCCGTCTCTGCTGTTGTAGTCACAGAGGACGTGGTAACGTCCTTGATGATGGAGGATGATCAACGTCCTCCTTGATGGAGGCTTTCATCAGTTGTCAGGGGTCCATCTCTAGGAGTCTGGAATAGATTCAGATTTATCAGATCCAGCCATTTCTTAAGCCGTCATTCCAGGACGGGTCCTGACCATATACGGTGAGGTCTTTCCCCTCACAGATGTCACTTCAGACTCCTCCAGGGTGAATAGTGGCAGCTTCTTAAGAAGCAGGGATAGGGGGCTGGAGGTTTAGCTCAGCGACATAAGCACCTGACTTGCAAGCAGGCAGTCGTAAGTTCGATCCCCGGTACCGATAAAAAGGAAAAAGACAAAAAAAAAAAAAAAAAAAAAAAAGAAGCAGGGACAGGACAGGTCAGGACCTGCTGTGCCAGACTCCTGTTGTCCGATCACGTCTAGTGTGGCTCACTCCTCAGGCAGGGCCTGTGTTCTCAGTACAGCAGCTGTATTATGGGGTGGATTAGCTGTGTGTCACGAGGCTTCGGTAGGGAAGCTGTCCTGGGGGACGTTAGCAGAACTGAGTTGGTGGTGGGACTAGGGACAGAAAGGTGAACAATTCCAGAGCTGCACCAGCTCCGCTGAAGACTGGCACCACTCCATTTCTGGGGCTAGAAACGTTGGGCTCAGATTGGACTCCTTTCGTGCTCTGCTTGTGCTGTTGTAATAACTCATCAGCTGGGCGATATGAACGACAGACGTCTATTTTCTCCTGGTTCTGGACACTAAAACTCCCAGATGCAGATCTGTTCCTGCTTCTTGCTTTGCTCATGGTCTCTGCCTTACTGTCTTCACTTGGTGAAGAAAGAGAGAGCTCTCATTTCTCTTTCCTTATAAGGATGCCAATCTTGTGAGCCAGGGTTCTACCCTAATGACCTCATTTAACTAATTACCTCCTAAAGACCCTATCTCTGAAAAAGTCACGGTGCATGTTAGCTTCATTGCCTGCATTTTGGAGGGACACAACCTCGTGTATCGCATCTCTTTTTCACTTCCCTTTCTCTATCCTGACATCACTGTTTGTCCACTGAGTCCGTCCCCTCTGTTCCTGCTGCGTCTGTCCTTGTTCAAGCACTCTTCCTCTCTCACTCACAGTCTCCTCAAGCAGTTTCTCATTCCTCCAATCCAGCTCTGCCATTCCTACCAGAGTTCTTTTTTTAAATCGGTACCGGGGATCGAACTCACGACCACATGCTTGCAAGGCAGGTGCTTATGCTGCTGAGCTAAATCCCTAGCCCCTCCTATCAGACTTCTTACCCTGCCAAAACAGACTACCCAGTGTCACTTTTCTCCCCCAGTCCCTCAGGTGCCTCCCCTTCGGAGGGCAAGGTGAAGGCTTCTTTTTAGCAGTCTGAAGAGCTTCTCTGTGACTGGCCCCTGAGCTGGTTTCCACCCAGTCCCTGCCAGGAATGCTGTCACCCTGTGCTCCAGAACACCTGCTCCTGCGCGGAGAGCTCTTTGTCTCGAATGCTTCTCATTCTTTGGTGGGAATTTATTACTCTTGTCTCAGTACTCCTGGAGAGAGTTTTATCCCTTCTGCTGCTGCTGAAGCTGTGCGTCCTTTCTCTCCTGGACGCAGGCTTCCTGAGGGCATCACTGCATGTGATGGTATGCCTGTGCACTGGGTTGTCCTGGTACGTGGGGTTCTCTTCAGTGTCACTGGGGTCTTGTTCTGTAGTCATTCTACTGTTTGAAGAGGATATGAAGCCAGTCTTTACAGAGCAGGCGTGTGGATCTTTGGTGGGTCAGGTGTTCAGCAGCCTTTGGGAGGTGCATCTCAGCAAACTTGCCCAAGTGCAGAGCCTGAGAAGCCTCAATTCTGAGGTTTTGAGGTTCTCTGCCTGCGGCCCACAGCACCACTGGACTAGCTGGCTTGCACGGTCTGGGCTGACCCAGAACTGCTACCACCCAGACCAGTTTTCTCCTTCTAAGCTGAGTCACTGATTTTCTCTGTGAATGGGTGTCTCTGGGGTCTAGGTGTTCAAGGCCAGGCCAAGGATGGCTGGACGACCCATCCATATAGGAGACCAGCTGGTTCTAGAAGAAGATTATGATGAGACCTATATTCCCAACGAGCAAGGTAAGAGGCCTGTGGGGTGTTGTTCGTAGTTCTTCAAGGGCAGTCTGAGCCACCTTGGTTCTTTCACTGCGATGTATGGTGCTGCAAAGAGCTGGCTCGGAAGGGGTCGTCAAACTATATGTGGTCCATGGGCTTAACTTGGCTTGTTGCCTGTTACTGTAAATAAAGTTTTATTGGAGAACAGCCGCGGTTATTTGTATCTATGTTGTCTGTGGCTGCCTTCATGCTGTGACAGATAAGTTACACAGTTATGACAGACAACATATAACCTATAAAGTCTACTGTGTTTATTGTCAGGCTCTTAAGAAAAAATTTGCTAACCTTTGGTTAATGATTTTTTTTTTGTAGTTCTGTCAATCAAACCCACAAAGATTTGTTTTAAATGAGAACTTTGGAGGGGATGTTATGAAATACAGTATGTCCTGAGGCCAGGGCAAACCTTTCTCTTTTTTTGGAGGGGGTGGTACGGGAATCGAACTCAGGACCTCACACTTGCAGGGCGGGCAGTGTGCCACTGAGCTGTGTCCCAGGCCACAACCTTTTCTATTTCGCAGTGCTGGGTTTGGAACCAGGGCCTTGCACACGCTTCTGAACTATGCCCCTGCAGCCTCAGTTTGTTGAGAGCAAACTAAAGCAGTTTTTTAAACACTCAAGAATGATGTTATTAATAAAAGTAATAGCATTATTTAGCCCTGATGTGTGTCAGTCTGTTTTAAGAACTTTGTAATCACCCTTTCAGCCTTTGCTGCTGCTCAGTGAGTCAGGTACTGATATTATCCCTCCCTGTTTTACAGTAAGGAGATCAAGGCACTGAAAGGTTAAATAATTTTCCTATAGTTACACCCATTCTGCAGTGTATGAAAGTTCTTTGCATATGTGTTCTGTGTTCCGGGCCTGCTCTTTTAAATGCTGTTTGTTTGTTTGTTTATTTATTTTTTGAGACAGTCTTGCTGTGTAGCTCAGGATGGCCTGGAACTTGCTTATGTAGTCCAGGCTGGCCTCGGACTCATGGTGGTCCTCCTGCCTCAGCCTCCTGAGTGCTGAGATTACAGGTGTGTGCCACCATGCCCGGCTGTATTATTTTTTTGGAGTGAAATTTCAGTTTTGAAGAGTTATGGACCTGGACATACTTCGTTTCCAACCCAGCTGGTCTGTGAACCTGGGCGAAGAGGTGGAGAACCTTGGACCCCCAGGAGTCCGTTATCCACCTGTTAACCTTGGGCTTTGCTTGGAGTGTAGTATGTTTGTTTAGGTGCCATTTAGAAATTTTAAAATTTTCACATTTAAATTGTTTTGGTGCCGAGGATTGAATCCAGGGCTTTGCTCATGCTGAGCACGTGCTCTACCACTGAGTTATAACATCAGTCCCAGAACTTTGACTTTTTGTGTTATATATTTTGGCCCATTCTGATGCAGCTCTTTATTTATTATGTATCAGGGTTAGAAAAGCCTTTCCCACTCTGAGGATAAAGTCCTTCTCTCATATTTTCTTCTGATTTTGCTCCCGTACCATTAATGGAGTAGCCGACCTTCCCTGGCTGACTTGGGTGCTGTGATTCGAGTCTGCTTTGTCTTCTCTCCCACTGTGTATTCATGTGTCACAGCTATACTCAAAATTCCTGAGGCTGCATCGGAACTTGTAATGTCTGGTAGGCTTAAAAAAACGCTCTATTTTCAAAGTTTTTCCTGGATATGGCTTATCTGCCCATGGAATTTGGAATCACTGTGTCACATTCTGGGTAAGGTTTTATGAAGGAGGAGGAGCTGTTAGTACTTGAAGGAAATTGTGTTTAGTAACTGAGTTGATTTAGGGACGACTGTCACCTTCATGAAATCTTCCTGTTCAAGAGCAAACATTGTGTTCCTGTCACATATATCTTTGTTTGTTCTTTTGGAATGACTTATGCTTTCTTTATGTTGGTCTTCTGCATTTTGCGCTCAGATCTTCCCTCCCTCCCATTCTCCTCCTCTTCTTAGTCAGCCTGTGTCCTCACACATGGTAGGTAAGGACTTCACCACTGACTTACATCCTACCTGTTTTCATTTACTTATTTGAGGCAGGGTCTCCCTATGTGGTTTAGGCTGGCCTCGACCTCTTGGTGATCCTCCTGCGTCAGCCTTCTGAGTGCTGGAGTTACAGGCATGCAGCACCTTGCCAAGCTCCATTTTTATTCTGAGACTGGGTCTCACTGAGTTGCTGAAGCTGGCCTTGAGTTTATGATCTTCCTGCCTCAGCTTCCCAGAGTGCTGGGTGACAGGCATATATCACCATCCCTGGCAGACTGTTTCTTAAATACATGTTGATCAGCTGTAATATGAAAACCCAGAATTCAGAATTTTTTAAAACCTCAAACATTTTGGGGGGAGCATTTCTGAGTTTGAATTTTCAGATCAGGGATGTTCACCTGTTAAAATCTAGGCAGATATCCCAAGAAGTAAACAAAAGACCTGAAATCTGACACATTTTTGATTCTGAGCATTTTGGAGATGAGATACTAAACCTGTGTTATTGTGTTTTTTGGTCACTACGGTAATTGGTTTTTCTTTTCTTTCTTTCTTTTTTTAAAGGTTTTTCTAAGGGAGTTTTTTTTATAACTTCTGCTCAGTCCAAGTTTAGGTACATCTTTTGGCCAGCATTTTCTCTTGGGCTTCTCAGTAACTTTCTAATTAGCACGCCGCTTACCCCTCGGCCCTTGTCCAGTCTGTGTTGCCCCTTGTGGCCAGAGCAATCTTACGTATGAATCACATCACTCCTGAATTCTGCTTTTCGGACTGTCCCACACTGTCGACGTGATTCCCTTGCTGGGCGTGTGGGGCTCTTTGTGACCTGCCAGTCATGTTGACTTTCCGGAAGTCTCCAGCTAGGCTAAGTCACAGCTTTCTACCGGGTCTTTGCACTTGCTCTCCTGCCTGCGCAGCCTTTCTCAGTGCTGTGCCCAGAACTCTGTCTCCTGCATGTTTCAGGTTAGTATCATTGCTGAGATGGTTTCCTTGACCGTTCATTCTAAAGAAGCCCTCCTCTCCTTGCCATTGTCCGTCTCACGCATCATTTGCTTCCTTCATTGTATGTGTTAGTAGCTCTGATTCCTTGTGTATTTATCTGTTTACTTCCTTCTATTAGCATGTAAACTCTGTAAGGGTGGCAACCATTTCTCCTAGTGATTGGCATATGAGAGGCATTCAAAAAGTATCAGTGAAGTCAATGAATAAATCAGTCCCTGGCCAAGCAAGATCCAATCAGTCTTACAAAAAAAGCGGTCTTTATTTCCTAGTCCTCACGTATGTCACACTCCAAATTCTCCACTGACATGATCCATGTTTGCAATCCTCTCTGCCCGGGGCAGACACCCCCTTAAGCCCTGAGGCTTCTTGGGTATTGTCTTACTGTTCCTGGGGCCTCCAGTGACGTGGTCCAGTGCTCGGCTCACCTGTCTTTTTTCCTAGAGGTGAGCTAGCTCTTAACTCAGTACCTGTCTCTCTCCCATTTCTCTGGTTCTCTGGCAGAAGAACTCTTCTCAATTCTCGATTCTAAGAGGATAGCAGAAGTCTTCGGGTCTGAAATTGAAAAGAATTGCCTTGCAGAGGAAGCGGACTTGATGCCTGGGGAGAAGGCTGAGCCTGAGCTGCTTTCTCGGCTCAGGTACCCCCTGCTTCTCGACAGAATTGGTTCCTGCCCTCTTTCTGCTCCCAGGCACGCTGTCCATGTCACAGCCCCAGCTGTATTACCTGGCTCCTACTCTCCTGTTGTGTCTTTGAGTTCCTCAAAGAGTCCGGTCATCTGCAGTTATTTAGTACGTGCTTGGCTATTGAGTGACAGGCACTTTGCAGGAAGCTCTTGCAAATCTTAGGAAGGCTTCTGTCCTTCTGGTAAGGCTGCCCTCATCCTGGATGTCCGGCTGTGGCTTTGGGCTTCTTCCTGAGGTCCCTGCCATGGTGAAGGCTTGCTTTTTGTCTTTGTTATTCTTGATTTTGGATGATATTGTTGCGGGTAGGGACAAAGCATGTTCTGATTCAGGTGGGTCATTTGTAAATTGTTTTGGATATAAGGAAATGATTCTGTATGTTTATTATTTATATTTAGAGAAATAACAGTTCCTCCCTGAAGAGAATTTGGAAACTAACGACAAAGTAGAAAATGCATTGCTGGTGATACTTTTTCTTCTTTGTATCCATTTCCCTTTGTCCCCATCGTTCTTACCTTTCTTCCTTCCTGCTTCTCCTTGCAGAAATTCTTGAATATGCTCGAGTAATTGGTATTGACCCCGTCAAGGAACCAGAGCTGATGTGGTTGGCGCGGGAGGGCTTTGTGGCCCCACTGCCTATGGAGTGGAAACCGTGGTAAGTCACAGGAAGTCGCAGGGCTGTGGCCGAGGCAGAGGGACCTGGCGCTGGAGATCAGTTTTATCCTTTGTTTTTTGGTCCTGGGGATCTAACTCAGGACCTCGCACTTGCCAGGCAGGTGCTTATGACTCCGAGCTAAATCCTCGGCCCATGGAGATCAGTTTTAATGGGCCACTTTTTCCAGGCCTGTACTGCATGCTCAGGGACTGCACTGTGTCACTCTTTTCCTGGTCCTTTGCATGTTTCAGGCCTGGGCTTAGGGTCACCTGATGATACTTGTGATGGGGTCTGGCACTTATTCTGGGACCAAGAAGCTGCTGCTCTGCTTAAGTCCTGAGGTGCCTGCCTGCCTGTCTGCCTGCCTGCCTGTCTTCCTTCCTTCCTTCCTTCCTTCCTTCCTTCCTTCCTTCCTTCCTTCCCTTTCTCTCTCTCTCTGTCTCTCTTTCTTTCTTTCCAAATAGTAAAGTTATTTTATTTTATGGATTTAAAAAAATTTTTTTTGAGATCGGGTCTTGTTATGTTTTGCAGGCTGAACTGACTTCTGATTTTTGGTACTGGGGATCAAACTCACGACCTTGCATTTGTTAGGCAGGCATTATACCTCTGAGCTAAATCTCCAGTCCTTTTTGTGATTTTTGTTTGTTTGTTTGTTTTTTTGGTACTGGAGATCAAATTCACAACCCTTGAACTCACTTCTGTAGCCCGTGCTGGCTTCAGACTCGCAGCGATCCTCCTGCCTCAGCCTCCTGAGTCCTGGGATTACAGGTGTGGGCCACCACACCCAGCTCACGTTTTTCATTAGTACATTTGCAGCACATAATGGTTACATTCCTGAAGTGTCACTGTTACTCCCTTCGGACCAATACTGAAAGTGACAGCTGACTCCTTAGCATGTCCAGAGTGAGTGCTGATGCCACGGGGTTTACGGCGAGGGTACGTAGACTGGCAGAGGGTTTCTTCTCCCCTGGCAGTCTGTGGCTTTGCCATCCCTAAATCCGTGTAACCTGTTCATGAGGAAGCTCCTGTTTGTTCGCTGATGCTGTCAGTTGCAGTGAGAGCTCTTTGGGTCGTGAGGGCAGAGCACATCAGGCCATCTCAGCGAAAGAGGCTGGTGGTGACGGGCCAGTGGCCAAGGGGAGGAGACTGAAAGGAGCGGGATTGCTGCTGGCATTTTCTGTCTGCTTACAGTGACAGCTTTCTGCACTGGCCTCTCTGCATTTCCTCCTCCTTGTCCCCTGCACAGCGCACTCCGAGTTGTCTCCCTAAAGTGAGCGACATAGTTTATAAACTTGCTCCCAGAAACTGGGGTTTCTGCGCTCCACCCCAGGTGTCTGGGGAGGGCCCGCTCCTGCGGTGAGGCGAGGCGTGAGAGGTGGAGAAGGCGTCTTGCTGTCAACCTGGAATGCGCTGGTTGGACTTCAGAACGGCTGCAGCTGCTGTCTTACTCCTCCGGGGAGACTTCCAGCTTTCCCTGTGTGGCGTCTCCTTGGCGTCTTGGTGTTTTTAGTTGCTTTCCTCGGATCGACTCCACTTTCATGGCACGCTGTAGGAAAGCTGCCCGCGGTTTACATAGTATTTTAGGTGCTGAGGGCTCCTGGCTGTGTTTGTAGGGTTTGAGGTTGTGGGGAAGCATTTTCTGTTTTGTTTCTGACCGCTGCCCTGATGGAGGGCAGGACCCCGTCTTCCGTGCAGCTGTGTGCTAGTATATTCATACACCCAGCACGGTGGCTAATACGCCCCTGTCCTGAGGGAGCACAGGAACTGTCGCAGCTCACTTATATAGGACATCTTTTCTGCTACCCCTTTCCCAAGGATGATTACTATTAGTTGGTACGTTCTTTTTTTTGCGGTACTGGAGATCAAACTCACAACCACGCGCTTGCAAGGTAGGCGCTTACGCTGCTGAGCTAAATCCCCAGCCCCGGTATATTCTTTCTAGGTCTTTGTTGTGTATTTTTTTGTGTTTTGAGATAAGACCTCATTATATAGTTAAGGCTGAGCTTGAACTCACTGTGTAGCCCAGGTTGACTCAAGCTTGCAGAGCTTCTCCTGACTCAGCCTCCTGAGTGCTGGTATTATTAGCATGTGCCACCTTGCCTGGCCTCCTAGATCTTACCTTATCTCTCTCTCTCTCTCTCTCACTCACACACACACACACACACACACACACACACACAGAAGCACTAGTTTTTTTTAAAGACATCAATGCCACATTATATGTACTTTCCTGTTGTGTGTCAGTATATGTAAGCCTGCCCATTCTCTTTATTGGCTATATACTTTTCCCTATGTAGAGGTACCAGTTTAGTGTTTCTTTTTGTACACTGGGGATTCAACCTAGATCCTTGCACATGGTGGGCAAGTGCTGTACCACTGAGATATGCTGCTCTTATACTGAAGGACATTTGGGTATTTCTGAGACTAGCTGTGTATGTAAGGATCTACTTCTGGATTCCCAGCAGCCTTGCACTGATCTCTTTATATACCGGGGCCATTTCTACCAGCAACACCATTCTGTCTTGGTTACTATAGCTTTAAAATCTTCAAATTGGGCTGGGGATTTAGTTCAGGTCATAAGCACCTGCCTTGCAAGCAGGCGGTCGTGAGTTCGATCCCTGGTACCGATAAAAAGTTAAAAAAAAAAAGTTTAAAATCTTCAAATCATTTAATATAAATCTTCCAACTTTTCTCTTTCTAGATCCTTTGAATTTTCTAATGCATTTTATAATTTGTGTCAGTTTCCTATTAGGATTGCATAAAATTAATTTGGGGAAAATTCACTTTTTTGTTTTTTGGTAATAGGGTTTAACTTGGGGCCTTCACAATGACTCACAGTTTTAGTTCTTTTTAGTTCTTTTTAGGCCTTTTAGTTCTTTATTTATTTTTCTTATTTATTTATTTGTTTGTTTGTTTGTTTCCAAATCCATTTTATTTCAAGGATAAAAACAAAAAGAAGAAAAAAACTACAACAGAATTTCAAGACATGTCAATCAGGGGGCAGCAATGGTCCATACATTGCACATTGTCATCCCCAGATGATTCTGCCAGAGCGCAAGCCGTCTGTATTCAGTGTGTGAGCGCAGATCTTCCTCTTCAGTGAAGGCAGAGGAATCAGTGTATAACTGCCTTCACTGTTCTTATTTGCATATGCATACACAGACACAGGTGGTTTTTCTTTCAGCTTCTCACCCTAATGAAACGTTCTGATGTTTACACCTGCGTGCCTTATTGTGTTTCACTGACCAGTGTGGTCTCCGGTTGCATCCGCTTACCTATACCCCGGCCTTTTTAAATGTTTTATTTTGAGGCAGCGTCTCCCTGTGTTGCCCAGGCCGGGCTTGAGCTCTCAGCCCTTCTGCCTCAGCTTCCCAGGGTCCCTGGGTTACGGCCGACGTCTCCATGTCCAGCTAAGCGCTGACATCTTACTAGCTGACTCTCTCAGCCAGTGAACGTAGCTGTGGCCGTAACCGTGGACCCAGCTGTGCTGGCCCGTAGCTAACAACCTATTCCTAGTTTTTAGTTTTTCTTGAATATCTCTAAGAAATGGTTTGTAGATTTGTGTGTGCATGTGTGTGTGAACATGTCTCACCTGTCTTTTATTAGATTTATCTGTAGGTAGTCAATATTTTTTGATGTTTTTATAAATGTGTTTCCAATTCCCACTTGTGTGTTATTTTTATATAGGCATAAAATTGGTTTTCGTGTATTGATCTTGCAGTGTGCAGCCTTGCTAAACTCAGTTATGTCAGGACTGCTGCTTTTTTTTTAAATTGCATTGGATTTTCTACAGGGATGATCACGTCCTCTGAGAATAAAGACATTTCTACCTTTTCCTTTCTAATCTGGTTACCTTTTATTTCTATTTCTTACCTTCCTGCACTGACTGGAGGCTTCAGTTTTATTAAATAGAGGTAGTGACAAAGGATATTTTTGCCTTTTTTTCTGAACTTAGGCAAAAATGTACAGTTTTTTATCATTAAGTAGATGCTAGCTGTAAGTTTCTTATAAATGCCTGTTCTCAGGATGAGAAAATTTCTCTGTATTCCTTCCTTGCTAAGAGTTTAAAGCAGGGATGGATATTGGATTTTTATCAGTATTTTTCTGCATCTGTTGATAGAATCATATGACTTTTTTTGGTCTGTTCATATAATCAATTATATTGATTTTTCAAAGATTGTCAATCTTATATACTTGGGATAAACTGCTTGGTCATACTGTATTTTTTTTATATTTTAAGAGGTTTGATTTTTCTAAAAGTTTCGGAAATATTGTTGAGGCTATGTCCACAGGGGAAATTGGTGTATTGTACCATTTTTCTTATGTTTTTGTCTTGTTTTAGTAATGGATTAACACTCAGGCCTCACAGAATAATTTGTGAATTTCTTCCTCTTCAGTTGTGGGGATGAGTTTGTGTAGGATTAGTATTGTTTTTTCCTTTAAATATTTGATATAATTCACCAGTGAAATCACCTGGGCTTAAAGTTTTTTGGGAGTAACTAAAATTTTTAACCACAAATTCAGCTGTATACATATGATTACTCAGGCTATTTCTTTTGGAATGAGCTTTGGTAGCTTGTGTTCTCAAGGCATTTGGCTATTTTGGCTATTTTTTAATTTTTATTTTTCACTTCAGCAGTGCTGGGGATCAAACCCAGAGCCTTGTGTATGCTAAGCAAGTGCTCAGCCACTGAGCTCCATCCCTAGTTCTTTTTATTTTTGAGACAGGGTCTCATTAAGTTGCCCAGGCAGGCCTTGAACTTGCAATCCCCCTGTCTCAGCCTCCCAAGTGGATGGGATTACAGGTGTGCAGCGCTGCATCTGGCTCCCTGTCATCCTTGGTATTGGTTGTTTATACTCACTCTGCATCTCTCTTGCCCTCTCCCCGTCCCGTTACTCTGGCTGTAGGTTATACATTTTGTTCTTTTCCCCAAAATGCATTTTTTCCACTGATTTTTTTCTTAATTCATTGATTTCTGTTCTGCTTTTTATTATTTCCT